GTCTCTCCAGTGATGTCTTAAATATCTAACAATGTACAGAACTATTTTGCAAACTGTAAATTGACTTTCTCTGATCATCCACTGAGCTTACTAATGCATGTTCAGTTTTCAGTCCAGCAAATATAATCTGAAATTAATTCAAAATGTTAAATGCAGAATGAGACATACTTTGGCCCTCAAGCAGTACAAGAATCAAACAATGTGAAATGCAAATCAACTTCTTTATGGCAAAGAGAGATCAGCTCTCAAAATAGAAACATGGAAATAGAACTTTAGTACTGCAGCAGTTATTCTGACAAGACAGTTCTGCCAATTAATATATTTGTTTAGGAGGCACATTTCAGTTCTGGCAGAATTTCCTGAATCCAAAGAGTAAAAGCAGAACTTTAAATTGAAACAAAACTTGAAAACAACATTGGTTTCTAGGTTCTTCAATCATGTGGGCTTTGTGTTGAATTTGTCATTTTACAGATCAAAGGTCAAAATTTTTAAATTCACCAATGGAATGTGAGCATCACTGGCAGGCCACCATGTATTGCTTGTCCCTAGTCTCCTTGAGAAGGTGATGATGAGCTAAATTTTTGAACAGTGAAAGAATGGCAGTATATTTCCAAGTCAGGATTGAACGTGGCTTGGAAGGGAATTTGCAAGTGGTGGTGTTCCCTTGTATCTGCTGCCCTTGATCTAGATTGAATTGGTTGTGGGTTTGGAAGGTGCTGTATAAGGACCTTTGGAAAACTTCTACCATGCATGTTGCAGATAATACACACTGCTGCTACTGGCATCACAGCCACAAAGAATCAAGCGGGCTGCTTTGTTTTGAATGGTGTCAAGTTTCGTGAATGTTGTTGGAGCTGCACCCATCCAGGCAAGTGGGGAGGTATTCCACTACACTCCTGACTTGTGCCTTGTGAATGGTGGACAGGCTTTGGGGAGTCAGAATGTGAGTTTACTCACTGCAGTATTCCTAGCATCTGACCTGCTGTTATAGCCTCTGCATTTATATGGCAAGTCCAGTTCTGTTTCTGATCAATTTGTTTTAATTCAAAAAATACCTTATTCCATTAAAAAAAAATCTTTATATACATACATGGTCACTAGAGCAGTTCAATTCTGTACAGTCTTTACATGTGTAGAATAAACAAACCCAAGGCATTCCTTGCTTACATAATACTATATTTACATGCATTTGAGGCACTGGGAAGGTCCGATAACTGAATGTACCCCCATTGTTCTGAGGCCAAAAGACCTCAGACAGTGGTCTTTCCACACTGCCCCAAGCTTTAGTGTGTCCCTCAGCACATAGTCCTGGACCTTGGAATATGCCAGTCCACAACACTCATCAAGATCATCTCTTTGCTCTGGAAGACCTACAAGTTTAGGCATAACAAAGCATGTCTTTCACCAAGTTGATGGTCCTCCAGGTGCTGATGATGTTGTGTGTCTTGGGGATCAACCAGAGAGCACAGAGTCCCGCATCACAAAGCTACTTGGGACGAACCTTGACAAAAAAAACCATGCATCTGTCTCCAAACTTCCTTTTGCGAAGGCACATTCAGAAGGAGATGTGTGGCGGTCTCTGTTGCTTTGAAGGCAGCGTATGGTAAGACAGAGAATCTGGGCGTATATGAAGAATCTCACAGGCAGTGCCCTTCTCATCAACAGCTAAACGATGTCTTGGCACTTGTTTGTAGTTCTGGTGATGAGGCATTCTGCCAAATGACTTTAACAGTCTGCTCAGGGAACAACCAGATGAGAGTCATCCTGTCCTTAGTACAAGGATGTTGACTAGGGGGGGATTCAGTGATGATAACATCATTTGAATGTAAAGTGGTGGTGCTTAGATTGTCTGTTAGTGGGGATGGTTACAGCCTGGCTTTTGTGTAGCATCAGTGTTACTCGCTACTTTTCAAATCATACCTGGATATTGTCCTGATCTTGTCACATTTGAGTATGGACTGCTTCACCTTTGGCCATACAAGCCACACAAACAGAAGTTAGTTGATTCGTACCTTAATGCTGGGATAGTGCAAACTAATCCCACTACTCGATTCTTTTCCGTTCCTTATCTTAGTTTAGTTTTTGCTTAAAATCCCATCTTCCTTGCTTCAACTATTCTTTCCGATATTACACTCCATGCTCCAACAGTACTTTGCAAAAGTACATTTCCCTTGGTCTGACCCCTCATTTTTCAAGAGTAAAGAAGTTTGAATCCAAATATATATGGCATTGGTAAGGACACACCTTGGGTACTGTGCTCAGGTTTGTTGGTCTTACTTGATGGACGACGTGAAACAAAAGAACAGAAAATCCTGGAGAAACTCAGCAGGCCTGGCATCAACTGTGGAGAGAAAAACAACTTAATGTTTCAGGTCCAGTGACCCTTTTGTCAGAACTGAAAGCAGCTGAGAAAGTGTATTTATGTTGATTTGGGCAGGTGCAATGAGTTGAATAGTGGAGAATGAACATCTTACTCCATGTTCATTAACTACGCTGACACCCCCGGTTCTGTTCTGTGTGGGTTTCTCCCAGTACAGCCAACTCACTTTCAGCTATTAATACTTCCTGTTAGCACCCGTTCAACATTTGTCACTCTCCTGGTTTGTCAGCATTCACATTATCTGCTTCTCTGTTTTCTCCTTTTTCTCTCTCTGTGGCCACCGCCTCCATCTATTCAACTCATTCCTTTCTCCCCAACCTTACCTTCCATTATCAACATAAATGCCATCATTTCCCAACTGCTTTAGATCTGACAAAGAGCCACTGCACTCAAAACTGTTGTTCTGTCCACAGATGACGCCAGGCCTGCTGAGTTTCTCCAGCATTTTCTGTTTTGCTTCATATCACCAGTATCCACAGTTCTTTGTGTTATTTTATTCTGAAAAATGAAGTGTTTACTTAGCCAGGTGCCTAGATATGAGATCACAATCTCATAATACAGGGATGGCCATTTAGTACTGAGAAGAGGAGAAATTGATTCGCTCAATGTGTCTATGGAATTCTGAATCTTAAAAACCTTTGGATGTTCAATCATTGAATATATTCAAGACCAAGCTTAATAGTTCTTTTGGATATTGAGAGGTATGGAGATACATCAGCAAAGTCAAGTTGTAGAAGATCAGCCTTATTTATATTAAATAGCAGGGCAAGCTCGAAAACCAAATTCCCTATCCTGCTCCTACTTCCTATGTTCTTATTATGATTGTAAATCAAATATTTTTTGTTTCATATTAGTTCTTTGCAGCACACCACAAGCTGCATCATACCAATGTCAAAAAAAACAATTTGACTGCTTTGGAAATTTCTTCAGCCATTGCTTTATCCAAGGCACCACTTCACTTTTTCACACATCCAGCTGCACTTTTAGAAAGGTCCTCTTGTCACATTTTATTAAATATATTTGAAAATTCAAGTGCATCACACTTGCTGTATTTATTTAGTCTGTTTAATCAGCACTTTTCTTCAATAAGTTATTGAATTATTAAAATATTAGTTTCCCTTTAGACTGGTTCACTGGTTATTGTTTTTAATTTGTTAATAATGCTGTCCCTTATTTTGGCCTTCTGCAATTTCTCCTGATTTAAAGCTTTCCACCTTGATTTATTTATCTGATATATTGTCTTTGTCTAAATGGTCAATGCAATAAATATGTCCCCTCGTTTTGGTTTTTCAGTAAGTGTCAATAGTAACACACTGTTCTTATCTATCTCTCCCTGTTCCTTTTATATTCAGATCTCCCAGTTAGTGTCCTTAATTCAAATAAAATCAGTCTCAATTGTTTTCAGTCATTGTATCTAAGTTCTATTATTTCTTAATATTAAGATTCAAGGGGAAAATGTACTTTGCAATTTTAAAACTGAACTTCGAAGTGTAATGACATATAAATCCTAGATTGGTGATTGTCATTTTAGAGGTCCCAATCTGTCTGATTCTGGCCTTGGAGAGTGTTACAGTTCATTGCAAAATAATAAATTTTAAGAGGAAGAAATTATTGCAGATGCTGGAATCTGTACTGGAAAAAAAATGTTAGAAATCACAGCAGATCAGGCAGCAACCATGGAGAGAGAGAGCAAGCTGATGAAGAGTCATCTAGACTCAAAACGTTAGAGCATTTCAAGATTCATCTAGACTCAAGATGTTAGTTTGCTCTCTCTCCATAGATGCTACCTGATCCACTGTGATTTCTAACATTTTTTGTTTTCAGTAAATTTTAAGTGGTTAGCTTGTGTGCAGATCACCAAATCAAGTACATATGGCATTGAAACTGTGAAAGAAGTGTCAATGTTGGGGAAATGTGGTATAAAATCTAACAGCTTGGCATTAGGCTCTATGAGGACAGAAGCATATGCAGTAATTTTATTGTTTATGAAGGCTTCTTTTCCTAATTAACTTTTTTTAGCTTTTAAAACTATCTATTATTGTGCACCTTAGTTTTGTCTTCACAGGTTTCTAACAAAAGAGTCAGTTGATCCTTTTTTTGGTAAAGAAATAATAATGGTCAATCACAAAAGTAATCTTTATGTCCAGAATGCTTGCTTAATAAATCAGTGGCCCAAATAAGGTTCACTGTTGGTTGCAAATGTTTAACAGGTTATGACCACGCTGAAGTAAGTCAAGATGATGATTGGACAGATATACAAAAGAAGATAATACCGTGGAAGAATAGTGTCCCAGACCAAGTTCTGGAATTGATCTGTCAGCAAAGAACCACAAACTCTGGAAAACCTTCTGATAGCAGCCTAATTATAGTGGCATCACTTATTGATAAGTCTGCTAACCTGGGAGGTAAGGATATGTTTTGTGTTTCAAAGATATTCTTCCCTGCTGTATTTCAGTACAAGTATTACGCTACCCACAGCTTTGGGTTCAGTTTGTGCCTAAGACTTCTTGCATCTATGTTGGCGCATTTATTTGTATGCCTTTGTAATGGAGAAGGTGAAAGACCTGATGAAAGTCAAATTGCTTACTGAAGAGCAAATCCACCTACTGACTGGTTCCTTACCTGAGGTGCTTTGACTTTTTGGTTTGGTTTTGTTTTATTAATTTCTTGTTGTTCATGCCTCCATAATAAATGCCAGAACATGAAAGGGAATACCACATGTCTAGCAGCCATTGTTTGGTTGCAGTCTTCCTTCTGCATGAGGAGATTAAACCACATTTTGTGTTAGTATTAAGTGAGATAGATTAATTTATTTTGGCCACAGTAGTTGATCCATATAATGCAAGAGATCAGTATCTTGTTTGTGCTTAAAATTGTAGCGTACTATTTAGAATTATAATTTTCAGTCCAGCTCCTGCACAAACCCATCAGAATTAGAGACAATAAGGGCTGCAGATGCTGGAAGCCAGAGATTATAGGTGTGAGGCTGGAAAAGCGCAGCAGGTCAGGCTGCATCTGAGGAGCAAGTAAGTCAATGTTTTGGGCCCGGATGCTGTCTGACCTGATATGGTTTTCCAGCATCACAGCCATAGACTCCACCAGAATTAGACTTTTTTTGCAGAACTATTTTTATTCTAAATGAACAAAATATGGAACTCTTGCCACTATTAGCTCCAGTGTTTGAATTTGTGGTAGCAAAAATAGTACGTTGTCTTCTCACTCCACATTTTTGCTTTGTTAATCAATGTTTCAATATGGCCACACGGTGTGACAAGGTGAATCAGGAAGGGCGATGGTTCTAGCATCAGTTTACCACCTGTCTCTCCCACCCCTGCCATCTCTTCCAAACAAATAAAGCAGAAGGTAGAGTTGTAGAAGATCAGCCTTAATTATATTGAATGGAAGAGTATTCTCAAAGACTAACTTGCCTGTTCATTCTCCATTTCTGATGTTTTTATCGTGGTTCTAAATCATATATCCTTACATAATATTATTTCCTCAAGATCTGTGACCAAATCATTTTTTGTGATGAACAAAGTCCAAAGCCAGTCAAAACACAGCTGTTCTCTCATACTTCAAACCAGGAATCTTGTTGTGATACCCAAGCTTAAAAGTGCGGCAAATGTTGGGGAAAATCTGGGTGACAAATGAGATCCAGAAATCTAATGAAGTTAGTGAATAAATCAAGGAGCAGAGTATTTTTGCTGGAGTTATTCCTTTTAGTTTGATCCACAAAATTTTTTTTGAGATTTTTTTTTCCCTTTTCGGCCATTTCATTTTTTTAAATGATCCTTTGATCTTTTAATCAACTTCCATGTGCTGCAAGCTACAGTAATGAGTATGAAATAAGCATCAAAAAATCCACCTATGTATATTAAATCATTACGTTTTTCAAAGGAGAAATAAATATTTCGAATTGTATAATACAAGACATTTAAAATCATAGTCTTCTATTTCTGGATAAGAAATAAAAGTGTTCCTGCTACAACTGCCAGTTCTTCGTCAAAACACTTGTAAAGCTCTGAATTGAATTTCCAGATTTGAATAGCTTTGCCACAGTTCAATGGGCTTTTAATCTATCTGCTTTAATTTATTGCACCCTATTTTGGGTTTAATTCAGGTAACTGATGTTTTAAAATTTTAGGTATTAACTTTGCAGTTCTGTTAACTTCTGGTTTATCATAGGTTTTTTAAAAAAAAAATTCCTTTATACTGCCATTTATGTCTGTGCGCTACATTAAGCAAACTGTAGTTCATTTGACTCTATTTTGTGTTAGGTTACATATATGTGACTCCAGACTCTCAGTAATGCGGTTGACCTTTAACTGCCCTCTAGGAAATTTGGGATAGGCAGTAAGTGTTGATCTAGCCAGTGATGCCCACATTCTGTGAGCAAATTTTTAAAGCTTACACGGAAGTCCTTTCCATCTTGAAATCTGCTCGTTGGGGTTGTCATTTAGCTTTGCATTCCCCCATTTTAAAGAAGACCTGTTGATGTGTGGTGACAGATTAAATTTATTTCAATAAATATCTCTCTAATTTAAATGCTAGGTAGTATTGTTTTATTGTGGACGTATGAACTACATTGTTTGCTTCAAATGTATCTTTGAAATCATGCTCAAAGTTATTTACAGTTTTATGTCATGCATGCCATCCTCAACCTTTTTCTTTAATCTTCTGCTCTTGGCCATCATTGTGCTTAATATAAAATTATAATGCCTTGCACATTAAAAATGCCTTCATATTCTAGAAATTTAGCCCTAACAAGTTTTTCCAATTGTTCACTGGGCTGCTTAATTGAGTGGCTGCGTAATGCACAATAGGAATGTTTGGATTTCATTGTTTTTCTGTGCTGGTTCATCTGTTTCCAGCCAATCCAGTGGTAGGAACGCTGCAATGTTCCTTGCTTTCCCCTGGTTATGCAAGTGAAAATTAGCACAGGTTTTGGTTTTTCATCCCTGTTGAAGAACGATAAGTGTAAATTTTAGTGTTGGCTATGATGCTCTGTGCAGTGAAATGACCTGCTGAAACTCGACCCATCAGAGCTCATACTTGTATATAGCCCACTTATTAGGTGTTTGTAGAACAAAAGAAATGATGGTTTGAGAAGGAAAATTTGATCGTGAGGAAAAAGTGCTCAACTCTTGGAGCGCAACGGCTCATAAAAATTCCTTCGTCCATTACATTTGTGTTAGTTCTCCTGCATCTCCACAATACTGTACAAACTTGCTCCTGAAGTGCTATGATATTTCAGTATCTCTTGCTTTATGCAGATACTGGGAGGTTTGTTAAAGTATTTTTTCTTTCTTTGTATGGATTCCCTCGTTAAAATTGAATTTTCTTAACTTATTGCAAAGTTAGTGATCAAGTAAGAGTTTCCATTGTCATTGTTTTTTGTTATTGTGGCATTTTCCTCTGTTGTTAAGTCTACCATTCCATTTACTAATGGTAGTTAAGAGAAAGGAAAGATCTACTCCTGTAGCTCTGTCACACAATGACTGCACAAATAATTGCCTGATAAATCTTTGCCCCATGACCAACCTATGGGAAACATATGTCTTGTGCTTGACACTTCATTCATGTCTCCAGCAGAAAACGTTGCAGGTTTAAGGCAAATGTGACCCCTCAAATCCAAGCTGGCACTAAATTGCAATGCTGAAGGAGTACAACATTGTCAAAGCTGCAGTTTTTGAATCAAGTCTTAAACTGAGTGAATATCTGCTCTGTTGGGTGGATGTAAAAGTTCCCATGAGACTACTTCAAAGAAGAGCAAAGGAGTTCTTTGCCTCCTGGCCAAAATTAATCTGTCTGACAAAAAAAACTAAAAAAAAATCCTGGATGTTCTCACCTTGTTGTTTATAGGACATTGCTGTGTGCCAGTAGGATGCTACATTTTGAGAGTACAAAGTGACTGCACTTTAGCAGCATTTGAATGTCTGGAAAGCACTTTTGAGCACCTGAGGTCCTGAAAATCACAATGGAATACAAGTTAATTATTCTTGCCGAAAGCAATAGGCTTGAGGTCAGGAACGCCTAAAATGAGGAATCAAGCTTTGCCTGAGGCACACTGTTTCTACTTCACTGCAATATGCCTCCCTTGTGAGTGTTATTTGTCTGAAATAACTTAAGAACCATAAGTTGGCTTTCAAGAAATTCTTGAACTTAATATAATGTCAACATCTGACAGCTTCTTTTTTAGTTTCTCCAGGTTTTTTTGCATAGCTTTTTATTTTTGGTGCTTCAATAGAGATGAGCTGAAAGCAGGTAATTAAATATATCCCCATCCCATACTTAGAATGTCTATTATTTTTGAGTGTTGTATTGATAACTTGATGGTTAATGTGTGCTTTTTTTTCCTCCAGGTTTATGTCGGACTAGTGAGATATTTGGGGCTTCTGCACTTGTTGTAAACAACATGCATTGTGTGAATGACAAACAGTTTCAAGCCCTCAGTGTGTCTGCTGAACAATGGCTGTCAGTCATTGAGGTGGGTGTTTGCCATCTTTTTGATTTCATAGATCAGAAATGAAAGAGTAATTCCATGCTGCAGATATAGGCACCGAAGTGGACTTGAATGCAGGCCATCTCGTTATCCATGCAGTGGCATATTAGAATCTTGCCCCTTCACATGTAGCAAATAAGAGCAGGAGTATACCATTCAGCCCTTCAAGCCTGCTGTGCCATTCAGTATGATCATGGCTGATCATCCAGCTCAGTACCCTGTTCCCACTTTCTCCCATACCATCTGATCCCTTTAACCCTAAGAACTATATCTAACTCCTTGAAAACATTCAATATTTTTGCCTCAACTACTTTCTGTGGCAGGCTCACCACTGTGTGTAAACAAATTTCTCCTCTTCTCAGTCCTGAATGACCTCCCTGTATCTTAGTGGTACAGGTATCACTGCAAGGATTGATAAGATCTGATCAACTCATGAATACTTTAGGAAATAGGTGTCTTTGTTGTCAACTAAGATGATCATAACTCATGTCAGTTCAGAGAATGTCCAAGATGAAATGGTCGATGAACAGATTAGAATCTTAAAGAAATGAGACACGTAATTTCATCTTAGTTCTATTACAGAGGCCTGTGGGAAGTTAATGCAGAAGCTTTCATTGAATGGAAAGGCGGCAGGCTGTATTGGGTGGGAATAAGGAATTGAGCTTAATACTTAAAAGGAAAATATTGTCGTTTCTGGAAATTTGAAATAAAGATAAAATGATGGAAACAATGATGGCACTGCAGGTCTGTGACCTGTGACTGGGAAAGGTTAGAAACATCATAAGTTTTAAACAAAGCAAAGAGAGGAGGGTGAAAGAGAAAAAGCAAAAGGAGTCATCCGTGACACGGTTGATGATAGATAAGATTAAATGACAAAAAACTTCATGGTGCAAAGTCAAAGTGATGATTAGACAAGAGAAGAATGTATCTGGAAGAGGTGTGAATGGCAGGATCCTGAATAGCTGCCATATGAAAGAAAATTAAATGAGTGAAACGAGAGAGAGAAGCACACAAAGCAAAAGTGGGAACAGCGGTTAGTTTCTAAATTTGTTGAACTCAGTATTGAGCCCTGAAGGCTGTAAAATGCCGAGTTGAAAAGTAAGTTCCTGGAGCTTGTGTTGAACTTCACTTGAACACTGTAGGAGGCCAAGGATAGATTGGTCAGAGTAGGACAGACACTTAAAATGGAAAGTGTCCATAAGCTTGAGGTCACACATGTGGACTGAAGTGAGGTGCTCTGCAAAGTGGACTTTTTCGATCTCCCTAATGTCGAGGAGATCATGTCGAGAGCAGTGAATGCAGTACATGAATTGAAAGAAATGTAAACACTGTTACACCTAGGAGCAGAATTTAGACCATGAATAATCAGGAAAAAAAAGAAAATGGACAAGTCTTGTATCTCTTGTGCTTATGTGGAAAGGTGTTGTAGGAAAGGAGGTGTAGGAGGGAACTGAGAAGTGGACCAAGGAATTGTAGAACAATGCTGAGAGGAGTGGGAAAAATATCTTAATGGTGGACTCGCACTGGGGGTGAAAAAAATTATATGGGCTGAATTGTTAGATACAGAGATATATGTGGTGGAAGGTGAAAACAAAGGGAGCATTACTGTGCTTCCAAGAACTTGAGGAAAGAGGGGATAAGAGAAATAGGAGAAGTGCATGAAGTATAGCAGACACATTTTCAGCGTCCTCTCAACCATAGTGTGGGGAAAATCCTCTGCATAATCATTGGAGGATTATTTTTCTTAAATTAGCTTAATGTGAAGATCTAATAACGTAGTGCTTCAGGATAATACCTATCGCCTGTAATACCTTTTTATTGAGCTTCTGTTATTACTAGGATAGAAGATAGTCTCTGAATTATTTTCTGGTTCTCTTCCAGACTTTCTGGAAAAGCTTTTTAAAAAAAAAAAGCATTTCTTAGAATCATTAGAATCCATACAGTGCGGAAAGAGGCTGTTCGGCCTATAAAGTCTGCACCCACCCTCCCAAAGAGCTTCTCACCAAGACCCAACTCCCCACCCTATCCCCATAACCCCAGCACTTACCATGGCTAATCCACCTACCCTTCACGTCCCTAAACACTGCAGACAATTTAGCATAGTCAATCCACCTAACCTGCATATCTTTGGACCACAGGAGGAAACCGGAACACCCGGTGGAAGCCCACGCAGACACAAGGAGAACATGAAAACTCCACACAAACAGCCCCTAAAAGCTGGGATTGAACCCTGATTCCTTGCACTTTGAGGCTGCATTTCTAACCACTGAACCACCATGCCACCCATTTATAGGACTGACCTATACACAATATATATTGCCAGTGCTCTATTGACCATCTTTAGTGGTTAAAATTAACAATAACATTTAATCTTTGTAGTTTATTTCTGGCATTAAAAGAATTCTGGCTTTCTGCCATTATATGAATGTGAATCTCCTAATGAATGAAGTAATTGAACTAATTTTATATTTTAGTGAAAAATAATAATATTGGCTTTCTGAAGAGTGATAGTACTTAGATTATATTTGTGTTTTTTGAATTCTAATTTTTATATGTAATGTGTATTTATAAATTTGGATGATTCCTTTAAGGTTTTGCTACATTAGAACAAAGCCAGCATGGAATTAATTAGCATTAGTAAAGCCTTCCAAAGTGCAGTTTTATACAACACCTCATAGTAAGACTTCAAATATACTGACTGAATACTACATATGCAGAGATACGTCATAGACTTTAAGTGATTAGCTCAGTGTTATAGCTCCATGAAACTTCATAGGGTCCAGAGTCAATGTTGAGGACCTGCTCAGACCTTTTGAGTGTAGGAGTTGAGATGTCATGTTAAGGTTGTACAGGACATTGGTGAGACCTCTCCTGGAGTACTCTGTGCAGTTCTGGTCACCCTGTTATAGGAAGGATATTATTAAACTTGGGAAGGTTCAGAAAAAATTTAGAAGGATGTTGCTGGGAATGGAGGGTTTGGATTATAAAAATAGGCTTGATAGGCTGGAACTTTTTTCATTGGAATGTAGGAGATTGAGTGGTGACCTTCTAGAAGTTTATAAAATCATGAGGCGCATAGATAAGGTGAATACCAAAGGTCTTTTCCCTTAGGTGGGGAAGTTCAAACTAGCCGACATATTTTTAAAGCAAGAGGAGAAAGATTTAAAAAGGCCATGAGGAGCAACTTTTTCAGAGTGGTTAGTGTGTGGAATGAACTGCCAGAGGAAGTGGTGGATGCAGGTACAGTTACAGCATTTAAAAGACATTTGGATAATGACCTGAATAGTAAAGGTTTGGAGGGATGTGGGCCAAACACAGGCAGGTGGGACTAGTTTAGTTTGGGAATATGTTCAGCATGGACTAGTTGGACTGAAGAGTCTGTTTCCATGCTGCATGACGCTCTAACTCTTGCTGCAGCTTTACTTTATAATGTTGGAAGGTGCATTTTAGGAAAATGAACTGGGTTGCTTTTCAATTCCAAAAGCAAGCTGCTTAGCTCGAGACAGGATATCTTAAAATGTTTATTTAAGTACTTTGTCTCCACTGGATTTACAGAGTGGAGATTAGTAAGAACGCCAGTCATCGACACGTTGTTATATTTTTGCATCCGTAAACATGAATGATGTCGATATTGACACTGCAGCATTCTGACTGTTACAAGCATCGCTTTCTAGAAACCGACTGATCCATCAACTTTTGGCCTGATCTGTGTCACGTTTAAATAATGATACAGTGGAGCTTATTACAGTGGGTCGTCAGTATTAATGACGTCTGAACAGTAACTGATAGGAGAGCAGTCAAACAATGTAAATCTGCTGCAGTATGTGTTTGTTTTAGGTATGAATGTCTGGCAGTGGGAAAGAAAGTGAAATTGGATTTTGAAGAGTGTAGTATTGAATCTGATACAGGTCAATTTAAAACACTGTCTTCTGAGTTTACTTTTGAAATGTTATTTCAAAAACTTGTTTGTGCTTAAAACCCATGAGAAACAGACAGGTGTCTGAAATGTGTATCTGTGTTCAACTTGTGAATGCAAAAATGTGTAAGTGAACAAAGTAACACATCAATGGGGATTGAAATATTTAATAGAATTTTTACAGTTTAAACAGTCTCTTGGCAGCAGTAGTGAATGTTGTGACATTAGTTACAATTATGTTTTGGGTCCCTGTTTAAGACGCAACACACACAGAAAGTTAAAAATTCCAGTAGGTAGAGTTTTGTTACCTCAGTCAGTACAAGAATGTCTCAAACACAAGGGTCAGTGTTGGAGGCTTGGGCTTGAAGTAAAATTTATCACTTTAAATTTACTCGATTTTGGGGTAAGACATGCAGGAGGGCTTTTTATACTGTGATATAAAGGTAGACAATGCCTAACTGAATGTTATTTTACAAAGTTTAAGAATTGTATCCTTTTGTCATTGCTGTTGCCTTATAATTTAACTCCAGTTTCTTAAGCAGGTGACCCCTGCTCCCTGAAGATTTCCCTAATCCATAAAAGTGTTAGAATCCACATTCCATGATAAAGACAGGCAGTTTGGGATTTCACTACAGATGTAACACGACATTATATAGCTAATTTAGTCATGTGAATTGAAAGACATTAAAGAAATTTGAACTCTGAAGTTGGTCACTCTGTAGCTAAGTGTTAAGTTTGCACCTGCAGTGATGCCGGAGAGCTCCTGGACTCTTCATTACTCAATTAAGCAGAATCTTAGACATAACATGTTGTGTAATCGCATTTAATTTTATAACTTTAGGATCTATACCTTGATTTAATGTTGTAGATAAACAAGTAGCAAATGAACGCATATATAAGTACATGAATACCTAACATAGAGATATGTGAATGTAAAACTGATGTACTCTCTTCCCTTTGAAGTTGTTATGAAATGATGCCAGAATCTATTGTTTCTTCCTCCTAAGCAAAAATAAGTTTGCCAAAAATATCTACAAGATAAGGAATGTATAGTCATTTGATAGTACAGAATTCTGTAGAGTAGACACCAGAGAAATTGTTTCTGCTTGTAAAAGGGTCAAGATGCAATTTTAAAGTGTTTTGCAAGAGAAGCAAACATGAGCTACAAAGAACTTTGTCACACAATCGGTGATTAGATTCTAAAATGCACTGCTAGGAAGTGTGGTGGAGGTGGGTTCAGTTGAGGCTTTTAAGAGAGAATTAGATGGTTATTTAAATAGAAACAACACGCAAGATGCGGGCAAGTGGCAGGAGATTGACTTAGTACCAATGTGTGCAGGCAAATGGTGCAGATACTATGAGCCGAATGGCCTTTTTTCAGGCAGTAACAATTCTATGATTTGAGTATTGCTGAAAAAGGCATATTTTGTTGACATTTTTCATCTTGTACTCAGATTATGTAAGGAAGATGGAGTGCAGAAGTCTAACTTTGAAGTTGTATGACTCAACTTTGAGTACTAGAGGCTGTAAAGTTCAGCTGCAAATTAGGTGGTGTTCCTCTAGCTTGGGTTGAGCATCATTGGAACACTAGCAGGCAGAGGGCAGAAATGTTAGCATGGCAGCAATGTGGTTTCCAGGGAACAGTTGGTACGAATTAGCTATGGCAAACTACACAGTAACACAGAAGGCATAGTTAATTGCAGACAGGAACAAACATGTACACACACTGCGCTTGTTCCAGATATTGTTCAAACATTGGAAAGCATCTAATGTTGGACATTGTGCTTCAAGTTTTTCAAGCATGTGTTTCTGAATTTCAATGCTACTGTGCTGCTAGGTGTCTAGGCTATGCATCCTCAAGACTGGCTTATTGTATCAAACAGCATGTCCCTTTGGCTCTTTGTAACCAGCAAGGTACTGACTGTATTCAACAAGAGCTTACAAAACTCAAATCATGGTATGCAATATGAGATTTGCTCTAGCAATTTGGACAACATTTTTGTAAATAGACCCAACTCTGTTAAGAATTATGCTGACAACCAGTTTAAGATTATCAGCTAGGCTCACAGTGTGGTACACGTGCTTATTGAAAACTACATGTTAATGTACAAGTACAGTTCTTTGTAGACAGAAAGACCATGTGCACATACTGCTCCTGTTCCTGTTCAAATGGAATAAAATGGGTGACCTTCGTTCTCTGGTTCAGTTCTCAGATCAATGCCTTAATTATAGTCTGGTTTAAATTTGAAGAAATATTGGTAGTTGCTGTTAGTCATCCTTTAGCTGGTACATTTTCCATGACATTGCCTCTACCCTGGACAGTCCTCTTGCCAACTCATCTGTATGTTCTTCTCATACAGTATGAAAATATTTCTTCCATTTATTGGACATTCTTGCAATTGTCTTGATAAGTGCAAGGTGAAAAACGTCAAAAAAAGTCTTTTTTCAGCATTAAAGAATATAGGTAATTTTGCCTTCTGTCATGTTCCAGAATCCCTTCCGATATCCAAGGTTTCATTTCCATTGACTTTAAATCTGCCGTGCAAGAGAAGGTTCAACATTAAGCAAGTAACCGTGCTTTATCATTACCCATTCAAATGTAGTTACAACAAAACTGCAGTCTTGACTTGCATATCCTTGCCACGTACCCTTGCTGCAAACTAACTACGGTAAAAACTGGCAATGAAAGTGATGTATTCAAAGCCAAATTCAAAATAATCATCTCTAAAGCCAGTGCTACTGGTGGCACATAGCCACAAGAAGCACACGGTGAAATGGTGTCAGTATCCAGTGTTTCAACAATCAATCAAGTGTGAAATGTCAAGCAATGCACCTGCTATGGGAGACAAGCCAGGAGAGTAAGTGCAAAAATGAAGACTTGCATTTATATAGTGCCTTCACCACTTGAGGGTATTTCAAGATTTTTTTATAGAATGAAATGCTTTTGAAGTGTAAACACTGGTTATGAAAGTGGCTGAGTGACAGGAAATAGTAATACGGTAGTAATTAATGGATATCTTTTGGACTGGGAAAAGACTTATCGTGGAGTTACCCTGGGATTGGCGTTGAAACCCTTGTTTTTCATAATAGATAAACTGTGTACACATATGTGGTTTACATAACACAACACAATTACAAAATTTTGGATGGTATAAAATTTGGAAGTGTTGTGAACTGTTGAGAGAATAGTATAGAAGTTCAAAAGAATATAGATAAATTGGCGGAATGGGCAGACGTGTGGTAAATGGAATTCATTGCAGAAAAAGGTGAAGTGATTCATTTTATTAGGAAGAACTCTGAGAGAATAACAAATAAAATACACATTTTTAAAGGGGTTGCAGTTGCAGAGGCACCTAGATGCAAAGTTTTTGAAGGTAGAAGAACAGGTTGAGAGAATAGTTTTATAAAGCATACAGTATCCTAGGTTTTACTAATACAGACATGAGTGCAAGAGCAATGAAGTTATATTAACTCTATATAAAGCAGTAATTTGTCCTGAGTTGGAGCATTATGTCCAATTCTGGGTGCTCTAGTTTCTTCCCACAGTCCAAAGATGTGCAGGTTAAGTGGATTGGCCATGCTAAATCATCCATGGTGTCCAGCGATGTGTAGGTGAGGTGGATTAGCCTTGGGAGATGCAGGGTTTCAGGGATAGGGTAAGGGGTACAAAATAAAGTTGCTTGTAAAGCTCAGCAGGTCTGGCAGCATCCGTGGGGGAAAAAATCAGTTAACCTTTCAGGTCCAGTGACACTTCCTCGGAAACCCTGCATAAAGAAAAAAATCTATAGGGTAGAGGGTGTTGGGTCTGGGTGGGATGCTCTTTGTTGGGTCAGTGCAGACTCAATAGGCTGAATGGCCTGCTTCCACACTATAAGGGCTCTGTGATTCCAACCTGGGCCTCCCCGTTCAGGAATAGGGATGCCACCACTGTGCCACAATAGGGCAGATTTTTTAACATCAACAGCGATTGTGGTTGTCACTAAGCCATTAGTTTTTGGACCCAAGTCCTCACAACATTAATCTGGTGCTCTGGGTCACTACTGCAGTACGATTACCATTTGTGCTACAGCCTCTTCATTATGGAGGAAACTTAGACATTTCCAGCATAGGACATTGTTCTGACCTGTTACGTCCAAGCTGGTCAACTAAGATCAGACGAGATGCCAGTTTACATACAGGAAGGTGGTGATGTTGATGTCGAGATGTAGATTGACCAGAACTCCGAAGTGTGCTCTTATATCCCCTTTTTAAAAACAACAGTGGGATCTTTTTAACGTACATCAGCGGGCAAGCAAAGCTTTGGTTTAATTTCTAATTTTAAAATCATTACTTTTGAAAGTGCAGCACTCCCTCACTGAAGTACCAAGTTAGGTTGTGGGTTGTGTCCTTCAACTCTGGAGTGGGACTTGTGCTAGTTACCATTTGGTTCAGAAGCAAGCGTACTAAGTTTGCTATTTTTGAGAGTAATAGGGTATTGAGCAAATCCAATATGATACTTCAAACATGCAGTTCTTTCTGTTGCACAGATTTAAGATTTTTTAGAAGGTCAAATGATATGGCTACTGACAATAATTTAACCTTCTCATCTAGAGATATCTCGCTGTTTTGCAGCTTGCTTAAAACAAACAGTGGGCTTTGTTGTGATAACCTGCCAGTTAAATGTGAGTACAATCTGGACAGAAGTGGACGTAGGGCCGAAGGTTTGTACCTATGGATTTCCGCAAACCCAAATGCACATTACCACCCTCTGTAGTGGAAATTCGCCACTTTGACCAAGAGTGGATGTGAAAAGTGGAGTGGTGGTGGTGAGATAGATGTTAAAACCATGCAGCCTCTTTCACGGCATTTCATAGCATTTGGAATAGCAGCCCATGCATGTTCCTGAATTCATCTGAAAGGAGAAAATCATGACAGAAACTTGTATTTATATAGTCAGTTTAACGCAGCAAAACTTCCCAAGGCACTTCACAGGTGCAAACAGGAGAACAGTGCCAAGCAGCACAGACGTTAGGACGAAGAGCCAAAAAATGGTCAAAGATGTGGGTTTTAAGGACCATCTTAAAGGAAAGGAGATGGAGAAATTTGAGGAATGAATTTTGAAGCTTAAGATCCAAGCAGCCAAAAACATTGGCAATTAAAATTGGTGATGTGCAAGAGATCAGAATTAGGGGAGTGCAGTTACCTGTTCAAAAAGGATGATAATTTAACATTGTCATTTTTTTAAAAAAACATTCTTAAACACGTATCTTGAAAAGTTGAGATTATTCCTTATTAAAAAGGAGAATAGAAGCCTTGATGTAAAATGGTAAAATTCTCATTTTATGATACTCACGTTGTGTCTAAGCTTTGAAGGTGATGAACCTATTTCTGCACTAATGGTAAGAGGATGACTCAATACTGTCAGCAGATGGTCTGCTGATTTCTCATCTTCAAGCTAAAATAAATCCAATGAGATACCCCTTCCAGATGTGCTGAATATCACAGAATCACTACGATGCAGATAGAGGCCATTTGGCCAATCGAATCTCAATGACCCTTACAGCATCCCACCCTATCCTCCCAACCCTGAATTTATCATAGTTAACCCACCTAGGCTGCACATCCCTGAATACTTATGGTTCGTGTACATGTGCCATGAATATGTGCCATGTACATTGATAAAGTTGCCTGGCTGTGTCAGGTTAGGAGTTGGTGAGAGCTCATGATAGCCAGATAACTGAAAGGAGCTGATTTTGCATGGCAAGGTGCCTATCTAACTTCATGATATTCCTGTTTGATATTCTACATTGGAAGTTTTTGCATTGCCTTTTACCGTTGATCTGGCTTCAAAAGTTGGGATAATGAGAGCTGTTGATATTTGGGGGACTGGGGCACCTGGTTGAAGAAAGAAGGCAAAACTGCAGTTGTTGCTCACTGAAATGTGAGGATATTAAATTTGTAAAATTATTTTGTTTCCTGACTTCAGTTTCTTTGTTTCATAGGTGAGACCTGCTCAGTTGGTTGAATATCTGCAGCAAAAGAAAACTGAAGGACATACAATCATTGGAGTGGAACAGACAGCCAACAGCCATAATCTTGCGCAGTATAGCTTCCCAGAAAAAACATTGCTTTTGCTCGGGTGAGTTACATGCTAAAAATAATCTTGGCACAGCTCACTCAAATATATTTGAAGGAGCTATGTTTCTGTACTGATAACTAGTTGAACTTAACAGAACTGATTGAGTGTGGGCTTTTTTCACATGCCTGTGATTTGAGAACAAAAGGTAAGCTACAAAAGATAATTGAGCTGCATTTTTACACATTCATATGTGAAACGGATGTTTTATTCTTGATATAGTTCTGTGTATCTAAAAATGGCCCCGAGCATCTCATCAATCACGCTTCTTTGTCACTTGGTTGAAATAAACACAATTTGATTTCTGGGTGTTTTTTGATGTTCTTTGGATATGGAACCAGAAGTCAATAAATAAACACCCAAAAATCTCCCATGCCTCACAGCAGACTCCAACCTAAGTCAAGCTCGAAGTGTGATGCACAGTTGGCAGATTAGAATGGGATTGAAATAAGCCAAGTACTGACTCCTGCTTTACGTTTAAGGGATTGCCTTGTTTGCAGCAAAACATCTGTCTTCCAAACATGCAATAGAGGGGGCACTCAGGCCAGTAGATTTGTTATCCCTCTGGGATCTATAGTGCAGATGTTAGATCAGCAAAAACAAAGTGCTACATCCAGCAGATGTAAAACCCTTGTGTGTTTAGCAAAGGGGCCTGGCCTGGGTCCTCTTCTCCACCACCGACAACAACTCCAACTCCCTCCTGCCTGCAGCCAAAACAAAGGTACTGTTATCTTTGTATGAAAAATATAAAATGTACAGGCGGTTGTTGGCAGACATTCCTGATACTTTGACTACAATTGAAGCCCTGCAAGTTTTCAGTGCTGGAAAGCTTAAACTGTCGTTTTTGTTTCCTTTTGCCTTATATTTACCTCTTTTCACAACCCTTTCACTCCACCAGAGCCACAACTATTGGTGCCAATACAAAAAATATTTGTCGAGCATCGAGCCATTTCAGGTTTGATCCCCATCCTGTGCTAAGTTGGTCAGTCTCCACTGGGCATCAGAAGGGACTCTGAAATAGCTCTGTGCTTTACTATGGGGCTTCATTCTTTACAACAACTGAACTTGCATATGTGAAATTTGGATATGCTGAGCTTGGGCTCAGCCGCAGTGCCTCTTTTCTTCCACATACAATCTAAAAGCCTCACCTGAGGCATGTACAGAATAACATGCGTTTTCAATATCAAGAGATTATAGCTCAGATTTTCCTGAGACCACACGCCATTATTGCTCCTTCTACATCAGAGACAGAAAGAAAATTGTAAGTGACTTATGCCATTAGTTTCACTGTTCCATATTTTTCTGAGACTTTTTGACTGATTTGAAAACAGTTGGCCAGTAATTATCATAGCGCTGCCCTTCTAAAATCAACAACAATCACAGCTTTTCTGCATCTAAGCAAGTTTTACACCATCATCACTTGGACTTAAAAATGGAAAAGGTGGTGGTGTGCATTGTTGTTCTACGGTTGAGTTTATCTTCCAATTAATAATTTATTACCATTGGAAAGATTAAACTAATGGGTCCTTTTAAGTATTTGCTTCCTGCACCTGGGAGTTTTGTACACTGCTTTGGTTGCTATGGCTTAGAAGTGAAATGCTGGCAATGTAGAGCAAGATGTCAACAGCAAAATCCGTGCACTAGGCAGTGATATTTATGGTGCATATCACTACTTTCGTTGCAGGAACACCTCAACCATTCGTACGTGATAGATGTTTATGAATTAATAGTGATGCTAGGGAGTACATGCCTTCAGTTCTAAATGAAGGAGAATTAGATAAAGACAAGATAAAGAAATATGGTCTGTATTATCAGCTTCCACATCTAGCAGCTACAACACATCACCTGCCATGCCATCTTTATCATGTGTTATTAAATTTATTTCTCATAGTGGAGTTTTTTTTTTAAATAATGCATGAGCTACTAATAGGTTTTACTGCTGCTAGTGAGCCAGTCAATCGCTTACCTTCTTCACTGTTGCATCACACTTTAATTCAGTTTGGAATTATCTGAATCTATAGACCTGCCCTACTGGCTGTTCAAACTCTATGTTAAGTTGTTGCCATGCCATCTATTGTAGGAAGCAATTTGTCTTCTACATCTACTGCAGATTGAAAAGGATAGAAAATGGAGCACTTCTTTATCCTCTGCCCTACATAAACCAAATTCTCATCTACGCACATTTATCTATGTCTCACTCATGCCCAGACTTCTCTGTTTGTTCTCATACTCTGTTTTGTACCATGCAGTAGTAAGGCAATGCAATCTATTTTTAAAAATTCTATGCATATGGTAAATTGAACAACATCTAAATTTAAGGCTGCGAACCATAAGTTGTTACAGACGTTCTTAGCAGCTTTTAATATGCACGAACTCTTGTTCAGCAATTATACTGTGTAAATCTTCTTGACTCAGTTTCATCTTTCTTTGTCTTCACATATACAAAGTGTGTATTTAACTTTTTGTACGTACTGGAAAATACTACTCAGTAGTGACAGTTGTATCTTGAGAAATTGAGAGTGGGCCATTAATCCCTTCAAGTCATTACTATATTAAAATACCCTGGTCATCACCACTGAACTACTTGCAATGCATAATACCATTGATTTATGGAGTAAATAATGTATGATTTTAGTTGGAACCCATTTTGTTAAAGTGATATTGGTTAGGTTATGTATTAATGTTGTCACAAAAATTGGTTGAACAAGATTGAAAGAAGCCATCACAAAGTTATTAATTTTATTGAAATAGATTATAAGTGGTAGTAACACTTCTTTGTGCATGTATGTTAGTTTGTCACTCTGCTATTGGTTTAAAAATTAGGTTGACCACAAATCTTAAACTTCACCAGAAAAAATATCTGCAGCTTATTTTCAAATTTTTTTATTTTTACAAAACAATGGGATGTGAAGTTGAGTACATAGAAACAGTGATTGTAACAGAAGAAGCCAGTCAGCCAGTTGCGTCTGTTACAGTGCACCGTAAGAGTCACTTAGCTAGTTTAACTACCCTCCCAACTTCTAGTACAGCCCAACAAGAGGATAGTCTTGGTTACCGTCTGCAGCCCCGTCGGTAAGTAATTTTGCACAGTTGATGATGGTTCTTCATTAAAGTTATAAACAAAGTTAAAGATTTACGAACATACAAATTAGAAGCAGAAGCGGGCAGTTCCACCATGAATAAGATCATGGCTATTCTCTGCTTAACTACCCAATCCTGTTATGAAGACTGTAAAATTACTAATTTTTGTGGATTTGAGTTTGAAAGATTGTGGTTACCTAGGTTTTTTTTAAAAAAGACATTAATGAGGGTCTTAATCTTTTTGAATAAGGCGTTTTTTTGGTCATCACATGTTATGTACTAACTGTTAGTTAACTGGATATCATCTGCCTGGGTTTATGATTGTCAGGTTTCATTGTTTGGAATTCTTGCTAAAGGAAAAGAGCTTCCAGGTTTAGCTGTCCTGTTTCTGGAAAAAGTCCTTGTTGAGAATCCAGTACGATACCTGATTGTCCCCTTGAAAAACGTCCAGAAGAATTCTTGAATCTTCTTCAAAAAGCCAAGTTTGCAAAGATCAGCTGAAATATAGAGAGCTGTCAGATATATCTACAAATAATCGGGTTGTAATAGGGGATTTTAATTTTCCGAACATTGATTGGGACTGCCATAATGTTAAGGGTTTGGATGGTGAGGAAGTTGTTAAATATGTTCATGATAATTTTCTTTATCAATATGTAAATGTACTTACTTGAGAAGGAGCAAACCTTGACGTTCTGTTGGGCGATAAGGGAGGGCGAGTGACTGAAGCGTTAGTAGAGGAACTGTTTGGGCCTAGTGGTCATAATCCTATTAGTTTCAAAATAGCTAAGGAAAAGGATAGGCCTTCCATAAAAGTTAAAGTTCTTAATTGGAGTAAGGCAAATTTTAATGGTGTGAGACAGGATCTTTCATGGTATCAAACTTTAACAGTATGAGGACCAATAGTTGGGGTGTTAGGAGTGCAGGCGTTTGAGTGTATCCAGTAGACCCTGAGCTGCTGAATGTAAGTCTCCATGGCAGCTGCTAACCTGCCCATGGAGGCGGCTCCTGTCCGTGGAGGCAGCCAGACAATTGCATGCTTCAGGTAATTGGATCCCCATAGTGTAGCTGCATTCCTGCAGCTTCTGGGCTATGAGGGCCATTACCTTCCACATACCTCTGCTACTTCTATCCCTCCTTGTGTGTTTGGACAAAGTCCTTGATTACCTACACTACTGGGTCCCCTCCTGCCTGAGCCTGACAGGTACCTGGTCTCTGGCAGTCCTCTGTGTGCCAGTGGCCTGAGGTATTGTTCTTGGCCAGCAGGGAAACTGTCAGACTGAGGTGCTTACCAGCTTGTGCTCTCAAACTTTCTAAACACTTTCCACTGTGGTGTCAATATCTGAGCTAACAATTGATATAGGCAACAGTCTTGCTGATGTTCCCTCTGAGGCCGAGGGACACACTCCCTTGTGTCAAGGAGGTGGCGTTTGGCGGAGCAGCCCATTTCTCCTCGAGCTGTGGATGCTTCGCTAGTACCTACAAGACTTGAGAGAAGAAGTGTTGTGCTTAATGGTTATATTTAGTGTGTAATGAGTGACACTGGCAGTGGGGTCATTCTGAGTGTTGCATTGGAGTGGAGAATGGTACTTTATTCATGAATGGTATTTTATTCGTTTGGTGGGATATGGATGTCTCGGCATACCTACAGAAGTTGTTCCAGCTTCTCCTGCAGGGTGCAGGATTCTGTTCTCTTACAGGGTGTGTAAATTCTAGTCAGGCACACTTTCTGTTCTGTCCTGTCATAAGAGAAAGGAAGGGATTGAGTGAGATGCAGGTGGGTGGTACAGCTATTAGTGCTGGTGCAAGTGGTCAAAAGCTAATGTGACATGGGGGATGAGTAGGCACCACTGAGGCCATGCATGGTTAGCGGTGTGGGTGTTTGGGGCGGATGCAAATGAGTGAGGGCAGTTGTTGCAGGCTGTAGTGAGAGTGGTAGAGCGGGAGCTTTGTGAGGAGGTGAGTGAAGTAGCAGAGATAGATTGAGTGTAGGATAGCACAGAGAAGAGTATAATGCTTACGCTACTGATTGACATTCTTGTGACATTGCTGGCCTTTCCTTGAAAGCTTAGAGACTGCATTGACCTCAGTTCTGATATCAGATCAAGGTCTGGTGCCATAGCCTCTTCTGCTGGTACTCCAGAAAGAAGACTTCTCCTTTGCACCAGCCCCTCCACCAGGACCTCCAGCTGCTTCTCCAACATTTTCAAAATGATTTGTCAGCTACCAAACCAAGCTGTCAGTGCTTATCTGGGTACAGAGCAGCCTTTCAAATGTGGCATGATCACCAGGGATTCTGGTCTTTCGCCATATATCCAGTGAGTGGTGAATTGTTCTAGGAGGTGGTAGGATGGGCCAATATCTGACAAGGGGGTCACTGTAGGGTTGGTGTAGATTGCCAATGAGTTTGGTAAGATGCAGCGAGAGGTCTCACTAGACTCTGTGAAACTCGAAAAACTTGTGTTTCAGACTGAACCTTGCCTTTATTTTGGTTATATAACTTTTTGGAACAGTGAGTTAGATACTTTGAGACAGAGTGGGACCAGGAGTCTTTGAATTAAGGAAAAACTGCCTAACATGTCCCTTTTGAATTGGACCATCTGCAGTTTGTTAATGACCTGAGAGTGCAGTGCATTCTGAGATATCCGGAATCCTGCAAACAAGAAGCATCTCTTTTGGTTTCTGCCTGAAAAGACTAAAAACTTAGAAGCCCTAAACACAAAACTTTGGTACAAGACCTAGGTTTACCTGATCAGCTATTGAAGCAAAGATCAACCATCAGTCTACTGACAACATTGTGTCACCAACACTTAGAAGATCAAAAGAACGGTGAGAAACAACTCATCCACCTTTGTAGCCTGATTGCTTGAATTACAGCATTTGTTTTTCTCTCTCTGTATATTTCCACCTAGAGTACTTGTGTCAAACTATCTGTTTTTGACTGTTTTACTCACAAATGTCTGTGTGTGTTTGGGACTTTAAAGGATATAAAGTTAACTTGCATAGTCA